TCCAGTCTGGGCGACCGAGTGAGACTCCAACTCAAAAAAAAAAAATTTCAGATAAATAACAATTGTGTTTAGTACAAGTATGTCCTGTTTAATATTTAGAACATACCAGAAAAATTGTTTATTGTTTATTTGAAATTCAAGCTTGCCGGGCTTGGTGGCTCAGCCTGTAATCCCGCGCCTTGGGGAGGCTGAGGTGAGTGGACTGCCTGAGCCCGCGGGTTCAAGACCCGCCTGGGCAGCGAGACCTCATCTCTATAATAAAATAAAAAATCAGCCGGACGTGGTGGCGCGCACCTGTAGTTCCAGCTACTCAGAAGGCTGAGGTGGAAGGATCGCCAGAGCCCAGCAGGCCGAGGCTGCGGTGGCCGGGAGCGGCCACTGCACTCCAGTCTGGGAGACAGAGTGAAACTCTAACTCAAAAAAAAAAAAAAAAAAAAAAGACTTATAGGAAGACTCCCAATAGAGCATAATCAATGATGTTCCAATAAAAAAACATTGACTTGCAGCGGGAAGACAGACTTTAAAAAGATAGAGGCAATAAGCATAATCTTTCCACAGAAAATTGTTTTTAGAAGGCAGACCTTAATTCTCACTACAAAGCAGCCTGAAAAGATAGGGGCTTGGGGTGGAATGAGACACACACATACATATACATACACACACACACACACACAGCACTTTGTTGGAAATCACCTGCAAATATATATCTCCTGTAGTTGCTTTTTTTTTGGATTTTGTTTTTCTTTTGGCACATAGCTATGACACCTCTGATAGGTGTAATGAAATTAAATCAGAACTACTTTTTTAAAAAAACTTTTCTAATAAGTAAGAACTAAACGTAAACATTGGGTACATACACAAACTTAAGTACTATGATTCAAAACAGAGCAAGAATTTACATTAAGCCCATCTAGTTGCATTAAGATGTGTCCTGTGGAAACCCAACCAAGGGTGACTGCCAAACTGACCAATTGAAGACAACTCAGAAAGCTGATAAGTCCCATAATATAGGCTATATTTCAAAAAGTCTATTAGAACACCCGCTTGACAAGATCTGATACCACTCCACCCTCATAACAACACTCTTCTATTTCTGTAATACTGTTTTTGTCACTAAAACATGGGTTAGTATTGACCATGGCAGACACTCTGAGATGACGACATTGTAGAGACACCAGTTATCTTATTAACCTCACGAGGGAAAAATCACAATTGTATATCCCAATCCTGATAACTTTATCTTTCTGCTAAGTACCCTAAGGGGTCCACTGATTTCTTCAAGCCTCAATTTCCACATATGAAAAATAGAAATCATAACACACTTCTGCTTCACTAGGTTCTAAAAATGGAAACTAGCTAAAACAAAACAAAACAAAAAGAATGTGAAGCGATCTGAAAAGAATAAACCAGATTCCTTGACCTGATGACTGGTCAGAGTCTTGTAAAACTAGACTTACTACTTCTTCCAATTCCATACATGCTGCCTGGCCATCAAACTGACAAAGAGTAATGACTGCACAGTTGACTCCGTTAAGAGTTTTAAAAGGGTAGAAACAAGTATCATGATGCATTTTCATACTCATTTAACTAACTAGCTGCAAAGTAAATCTAGCTATTGGCACTATAAAAATAGATAAGAAAAAATAAGATTAAATACAAATTTTTAAACTTAAATTTTTTTTCAAAATAATCAGCTGCCAGTATAAAACAGTTTGAAACCGACACAGAAGGAACGATGCAAGAACTGGAAATGAGCTAACCCAGAAACAGGAGGAATCACAAAATAAGTTTCACCTGATGGGCTGAAATACAATATGGATTATTTTTATATTGCTCTGTCTGAGTTGTCTGTCTCAGATTCTTAACTTCTAGATTCTATTTTTAAAATCACTTAATACTGTGGATTTCTAATAGCCATCAAGGCATATACTGTCATCCCTGACAGCAACGACTGTAAGCAGACTCAAAATGTACACTAATGATCTCAGGCAACAATGCCCATCTTCTTTTCAAAGAGATTCTTATTCCTGAAGAAAAGTTTAGAGTTCTCTAAGGAAATTCATTCTAAACCATAGGAAGTAGTCATTATAAAATGTTAAGATCACTAATACCTCTTATTTATTTTTAAGGTTATCTTACATGTTAAATTTTAAAACCAAAAACTGTCAGGCACTATAACATTTTTAGTTCTCTCCCAAATCGCCAGTGCTCTATTCTAGCAATGTCAAATAATGATAGCTGCTGTCATTATTTTTTATACAATAGCTGGCAGCAAGTTGTACAGATACTCTTCATCTTTGAATACTCACCAAACAACCTAAACAAATGTCAGGATCTTACAGTAGTACTGACCATTTCCCTAAAGCCAAAATAGGAGGGCTAATATGGATAATTTTATGGCTAGAATGTTAGCTATTAAAAAAAAATCAAAGATGTTACTTTTTTCTAAATTGTTTAAAAATAACTTTTTCCCCCTTACACATATACTCCTATACTCTCCTTCCTGTTACTAGAAACTACCTTATTCTACCACAAAAGTTTTCACATTTACTCTTAGCTTTAACACATTTAATAAAAACTGCAATTCTGTTCTTGGAAGCAGCAGCCCTCCAAGAAGTATATTTGAAAATATGAAAAAAAAGATGCATAAAATAAATAAGTTCTTTTCCTTTAACAAAGTCGACAATGCATGCAAAGGGATTTAGGAAAACCAGTGATCTCAGACACAAATGACATGACAGGCCACACGCACCCAAAAATTATTCCAAGACACAGAAAAACATCCGAGTGACTGATTCTAGGTCTCTTGTTCCAATTAATAGACAAGAGTCCCTCTCTAGTACTATTTGCTTTGGCAATCTAAAATGCTGACATTCTTCTAGATCTAACAGAGGAAAAATGGGTATCTTCTCCATCTGACACCTAAGTGGGTAACCTAGATACTGTAAATAGAAGCTACATAAAGGATGCAATAGACAGCTCTAAAGTGAGAGCCAAAATATTTAACCTGCAACTCTTTGGCAAAGAACCTGAAAACATGTGCAGCTTAGCCAAAAACTGTACTAATATGGAACTGCCACAGGCTAGTAAGTTAAAAAAAAAAACTCTTTACCAAACATAAGTTTACTGTTGTTGGGTGAGAAAAGTTCGAATGTCAAAAGCACAGTTCTTATTTGTTCAAAATGATCATGCCTTCTCTCTGCACTATTTATTTTAAAAGATGAGTGAACTGCTTTTTTGAAGCAAGTACTTGCAAAACCAGAATAAAATTCACAAATAAAGCAGCCAATTAACCAATTAATAAGCATTTTCCTGCTGATATTCATGGAGTTGACTAAGGGATGACAGTCAAGTCTCTGAAGAACAGTTACTCTCTACCCCATATAGTCAATGTTGTTTAAGCCAATAGCTAAATATTTAACTAACAGAAACTGCAATTATGTGAAAGTTATCTGAGAAATAAAAACATATTTTCCAAAGAACTAGTATCATTAAATACTGAAATATAAAAATTCAAATGTCTACATTGCAGTAGTAGTATAACTTTTATCAAATCAACTGGCAAAAAAGATAAATTAATGCAAAATATTCATTGCAAGAGATTAGCACTATGATTTAGTATACATTAACTCACTAACTTTAAGTTTTTCCTTTCTACATGATTAAGAAATTTCAAGGACTGCTTCTAGAATAAGATGCTCTTAGTAAATTTCCCCATTGATAAAAAAAGAAAACTTTTAAATAAATAAAGTGAATTCAAATAACTCAATCATAATTTCAAGTCAATAGCTAAAATCACTTAATGAATTGCATAATGCTATTCAATTATATTCTATATACTTTTCCTTATAATTCAGTAGTCTTATCTAGTGGCAAAGCTTGTAATTAAGTTTCAAGTTTTGAAAACTGTATGATATAAGTGGAAAGGCAAAGTTATTTTCTACGGACAATCAGAATTACTCATAATTAAGAAGATGATTCAGTTTTCCTAGTTATTAAATCTTTGAGGGAAGGGAGGAAGAAAATGCCTTTCTGCCACATACTACCCAAATAGAAAACTTGTAAATTAAATTATGTTTACATATAAATCAGATTTCCTTTCTATATAAGAATATAATATTTGTCAGAATGCTCTTTCTATATAGTATGTATCAAATGTATAAGGGAAACAAGACTTCAAATTACTTTTGAGTAGGAGTAATAAAGCACTTTCTCTTGATAACGAAACTGAAAAACATAATTAAGAGAAAACCAACCGAATTATTAATAAATACACATATTTTGCCATTCGTCGCTTACAACATACATCATGTATGCTTTTTTATCACATAAAAACAATGTCTGCTGCATCAATGAATGATCCTTTATCAAAAATAGTATTCAGAGAAGTAGTACTTGTTTATTCCTACAAGTTTAAACATTCTTCTAAATTTTCTCAGTTCTTCTCTCCACAATCTAAAACAAAATGCTTTCAACTTCGTTAGAGAAACAAATGTAAATGAGTTCCATAAATTTTTCAATTACACTTCACTTCCACTGCTTTGGAGGAGAAACTTGCACATATTAAAAAAAAAAAAGCAAGTGACACTGCAATTCTATCACTGATAGTTTACCTTTATACCAAGGCAATATTAAATTACTTTAAGGTGAAGAGTTCTTTGGAAGTGATATGTTTCCATATTTTTATCCAACAACAACAAAAAAATCCAGTCATAAACCTGGCAAGTCAAAACAATAACCAGCAAATTCTAACCTTTCTTACCTGATACAGGTAAGCACCAGCTCCCAAATGCTACCTTGGGACAGTTCAGAGTAGTAAGCAGACTCACATTTTATAACACTAGAATGAACAGGAATAAATCTGTGTTGTTCTTTCTTTAGCAAAATCTATAGCAGTTGCTACACCACAATGTGAGAGGACCCCACAGACCTAACAAATTCAAGTATGTCGCTAGAGAAATAGGCAAAAAAAAAAAATCATAAAATGAAGACTTACTGCTTGTCATGTGACTTGTTGAGGCATGCTGTCCATTGGGTGTGCTTCAGGTGAGATCAATTGCCATATCGGAGTGCTCTCTTTCAGGTGAAAGCTCATTGTCACCTGCTTTCACAAAATAAAATCTTTTGGTCTCTATTCACTGTCACAATCTAATTACTTTGTTTTATATGTGCAGTGGCATGCGTAGCCTTAATATTATAAGGTCATACATTTTTCCCTTAAAGGAAACTATAAAGAAATATCATTTAGGAATATGTACTTAAATGAATGAAATGAAAAAAAGCCACAATCAACTGATGATAAAAAAAATTAACAAAACTTTATCTCAATACTCTTATGTGTACAATAAAAGGAAATGAAGCTGTAGATTTCTAAAGTATCTTTTAGTTGAAAAAATAAGTTTTCTTTTAACATCCAACTTAACTATTAAGCATACAGTATTTATAATGAGCATTTTCCAAAATGCTGACTCTCAGTGTTTGCTATCAGAGAGGTTTGAAAAGAGTTGGCTAAAAAAAGTAACAACTTAGGAAATCTAATTCTCTTTCATATTATGTGTCTGAAAAATTAGGCTACTGTGTAGTAGATGTTTACTACACACCATATTAGTAGACATATATGAAACCTGACATATTCTAGATTTAAAGTAAATGAAAGGAATAAGTAGGAAAGCATTGATCTGTTCAGCTATTGATTTAAATATTATCTTTAGCTTAGTAAGTAGTAAGTATATTTCTACATTTCCTTCTTATTTCATTTCTGTGCTATTATTTTCTCAAACTCACTTCAAGGTAGAATTGTCAAAAGACAGAAACCAAGAATACAGAATTCTTAATAAAATCTCATAATTCAGGAATTAAAACACAGGTAATAGAGAGGTAACTTTATCAGTGATAGCAAATTAATGAAAATGATACTTACATGTTATATAGCCATCAATAGCCTCTGTTTCCATAGTCAAGGTGCAATGCCGTAAAACAAAAGATTACGGCCATAATACAATGATTCCTTTGAGTATCTGCCATTAAATTCTTAACTTATTTGAAGCTCCAAGCAGTTAGTCCATGTTGCTGCTGCAACCTGTGCCCAAGACACATACTACAGTGTACTGGATGTGCTCATTTGCAAGTCACTGAACTCTTTCTGCAAATGATCTGATTCCTGCTGGAGACAGGATAGGAAAGATAAGTGTGCTGGGAGATAGGCTATGGCAAGAAAGGAATGGCTCTGTTAATCAAAATTTACTTGGTTTAAAGAAAAAAAATAGAGGGTACACCTCAAATGTGCCACCTTTAACTGGGATTTAAGTATTTTACCATCCACTACTTCCCACAATCACACTGCAGTTTGAGGGCATCCCCAGTAGACAGATAGCTCTATTCACAATTGTTGCAAGTTGGTTCATCATGTTATAATAGGGAGGGGGAGGACAAACAAACATAAGAAAACAAAACCAAACAAAAACTTAGTGCCCAACTGTGTCTGGAAGATTTCTGCAGCAGTCAGCCAACTTCCTGACTTGTATTGACATTTTAGCCAATCTCAAGTTCTAGGTAAGCACCTGTTCAATGTAACCTTAACTTCCTGCCAGACCATGCTTGGATACAAATGCCAAGCCTACTTAATACATTCTGATTTTGAAAATTTCATAAACCTTGGCTGCACAGGAGGGAATAACTTTTCTTTAATGTTTGGGGAATTATTTGTAGGCACCAATGACAAAAACAGAACTTAATTCTCAAGAAAAAAAAAAAAGTAAATTGTATGAGAGGACACCCCTAGCTTTGATTCACATAATGAAAAGATGGATAATCCAACTGTAACCTGTGAGGGGGGAAAAGTTTAAGAACTGACAAGTCCTGAGGAGATTTTTTACCACCACCACCACCCCACCATCCCCCCCCACCTCCCCCTACACCCCCACCCCCGTTGGCCTTGGTTCTTTTTGCCTTTAGTTTCAAAATTCTCACTGTACCAGGAGCTAAATTATTCACAATGAGCCATTTCTGTATTGATCTCCAAGTATATTTAGCCCTGGCTCCTGGAATTTCTCCATTACTTACTGGAAAACAGGCAGCCTCACTTCTTGTCTCCAAAACCACTTCCCTTCTCCCTCCCCTCCCCTTCTTCACCACCACCCTCCCTACCACCCCCCAAAAAACTTTTCTTTCTTTCTTTATGGAATAATCAGATCAAATTCCCAACTCAGTCACTACATAACACTTAAATTTCAACCTGCTCTACTGTTATCAAATTCTTTCAAATTATGATTACATAAGGCTTTAAAGAAAGGGGGATTGGTAAAGTTTAAAAGGGAAGCAGTTGCTTCGGATATTTTACAAATGAGTTTATCTCTTTAAAAATGTACACATTTAACACACACATATTAAAAAGAAAGAAACGTCAGGAAGAAGTCAAAGACGTCTGCCCCATCAATAAAATGGTTATTAACCCTGCTAGAAGGAAAAGAAAAGGAGAAAGAGAAACGAAATGTACATACA